ATTTACTAGATCCACCACTATTTAGATAAATGGATATAAATTTTACGCTTTTCTAAAAAGTGTTTTCCTAGTGGCACGGAATAGATAGAAAAATAATATAGTATGCTAATATTCAGTTAAATATTTAGCCATCACTTATGTCTACTTTTATAAATGCGCAAGCTTATTATGCATATGCTTAAATTATTTAAATGTAATGGTAGCAAAAAAATATTTTGAGCCTCATTTATTTAAAGAAAATTAAAAAATAATTATAAAAAATTTTGGCACTACTTTAAGTATAAAAATAAAATCTTAGGCAAAAACAGGAAAGTTATCAAATAAACATGCTAAAAAAGATGTAATTGTGAATAATGACTTATTTCGTAGTGTATAAACCAATGTGTGCCTTAGCGTCATTTAATATGAGAGGTTTGTTTTCATTTTTTAAAAAGAAAATAAGTGACAACCCAATTTATAAAAGGAGTTAATTACCGGAAACGAGATTATTCTGCCTAAAACAATATATTAATAACCTACATATTAATGTATATACTTGCCTTCCAACTACTACGCTTTTTGCAAACTACTTTATACACTGTTGGAAATTTAAAAACCAGCGCTTTCATAGGGTTCCCGCAGTCCTTGATAAATTTTAGTAGTGGTACTAAATTTAGGTTAATGCTAGAATATATTTCTTACTTTATTGTATCACTTTATCGTTAAGTGGTTTAGAAAGCTGGAATTTTCATGCATATTTTCTTTCGAAAACAATTTTTAGTAGTGATTACTCAGATATTTGAAAATTCGACATTTGTTTTATTTTCGTTACCACTTTTTTTTTAAATTTTCAAGACCCACGGGAACTCCGTTTCAGAATTTTTGGTGATTTTGCCGACATGTTTAAAACCTCTCCACGAGAGAGCTGAAACAAAGTGGTGTTGCATATAAACTTTTAAACCAATTATGTGTAGTAGTGTGGAAAATAAGTTTAAATGAATAAAAAATAATATATTATAACATAAATTCAGCTTCCACTAGAATAAATATTTTCAAAAAACTTAGAAAGTTGGTAATCTCCGCCAACTATTGCGCTTTTTGCAATATATTTATAGAGTGGTAGACGTGTAAAAGCTTAAGCTTTCTGAATATTTGGTAATTTTGCCAACATTTTAAAAGCCTCACCAAGAAATAGTTAATACTTTAGAACATAAACTTAGATACCACTAGAATAAATTTTTAAATAAAGCATCGAAAGTTCGCAGCCTTGAAACTGCAATAGAGCTACTTTCCATGCGATACTTCGAAGTTTCGATAGGTAGTGGTGGAAAAATTACTAAAAATAAAAATACTAAACTAAGCATAACTTAAATTTTATTAATACTAGAAAATACTCTTATACAAAGCGAGGTAAGTTGGCATCTCTGCTTATGCATACCCTCCAACTGCTACGGAATTTCCGTAGTTTAAGAAATCTTCTTTTCAGACGGTAGCAAAATTAATGTCTTATACTTAAAAAAAATTAATTTTAGCGTAACTTGTCCACTATTACTTATAAAAGTGCAGGCCATATGGCTAGATTCTTAAGTTCTGATAAAAGTTTTATGAGAGATCCATTTGCTTTAAAAATTTCTACTTTGGTTCGCTACCACTAGAAAGAATTATTTTCAAAATCCTCATAAGTTGGAGGGTATGCGTATGTATATTATTACGAGATCATTCGATTCGATCCATGAGATTGATCGATTAAAACGAGATCATTCTGCCTAGCCTAGCACAATATATTAATTCTGTTTTTGTTTTTTACTTTCACGCTGGAATAGTAGGTAACGAAAAGTAATGTTAATTAAATAATTCCAAGAAACTGAAGCGGTAAGATATTACTTGATTAAAAAACAACATTTGCTTCAAAATATACAAATTGTATATAACAGTGGACATGGTTAAGGCGCTCAAAAATAGGCGCCCATTTTCAAGACTTGTAAACATTTTTATCCAATCTGTATATTTTTGGAGCGAATGAAGTTCTTTAATCAAGAAAGAATTGTGTATTTTATACATGGACTACTTTAAGCAGCTAGGTAGTAATTGGTGAAAAGACTACCAACTTTCATCAATGAAAACTAGATAGTAGGTAGGTGGGTGTAAAGCTACGCAATTGGCCGTTGGCGACGGTTTGGGAAATATCCCTGATGAATACCGGTGTAAGAAACTGTATACTGTAGAACCAGTATGATCGTACCACTTTGATCGCACCCTCGGTCCCTACGCAGAGTGGTCAAAGTGGTCAATAAACCGCTTACTGACCAGAGCCAGTGATGCTTGTTCTACTGGGAACAGTGTCTTTATGATCATTTACTGCGGGATTTTTAAAAAGTAAAATAAGTGCTAAAAATTCGGGTATATTGTTTTTACAATGAAAAATTGCATTTAGTTTTTGTGAAATGTCCAGTTTCTGTAACGGACATTTTAAGCTACGCTCATTTTTTTCGAATAATTTGTTATGTCCATTTTCGTTACCGAGCATTTTTCATTTGTGTCCAAAATAAAAATTCAAGTCGAAGACTATCAGTTTCAGAAGAATTTTTATAAGATTTACACAAAACTTTAAAAAAATGCTTTAAAATTAAATTAAGTAAAATAAAAACGCTGACATTATTTAATAGTATTCTGCTTTAATGTACGAATAATGGTTACTATTTGAAAAAAAGAAATTGTTTTTAAAATTAAAATAAGAAAAAATAACTTTAACTTGATTTATAATTTTAATAGTATTATGCTTTAATGTATAAATAATGGTTATTATTTAAAATTAAAAGAAAGAAGAGAAAAAGAATTTGCCTTTAAATTTAAAATAAATAAAAACAAAAACTTTCGCAACAAAATTTGAATAGTATTCTGCTTTAATGTAGAAATAATGGCTTTTATTTTTTTTAAAAAAAAAGAATTTGCCTTTAAAAGTAAAATGAGTAAAAAAAAAGACTCTACATGATTTTAATAGTATTCTGCTTCAATGTATAAATATGGTTATTATTTGGGGGAAAAGAGGAAAAGAAAAAAAAGGAATTTGCCTTTAAAATTAAAATATGTAAAAAAAAAACTTTTTCATGATTTTAATAGTACTCTGCTTTAAAGTATAAATAATGGTTATTACTTTTAAAACGAATTCACTGCAAAATATTTTTGAAATAGGAGGTTAAAGGTCAGTTAAAGCACTGATACGTAAAATATGACGTCAAATTAAGTAACAATGATGCAATCACTCACTCAAGGAAGTCATATATACAGTTACCTCTTAACTCAAGTTTTAAAACAATGAAAATGGATGCTATTAATTTCATTAAAAGAAATAAAATTAATCGTTAAAACAAAGATAATATTTATTTTTGTAATTGACAGTATGAAGCAACCTTCAGTTTTTAATGTAACTATATTGAAATTTTGGTTGCATAGAAGAGTTAAAATAAACAGATTTGCAAACAAATGTTGTTTCATTCTTAATTTATTAACATTAGGTTTACGGACGTTTCTTATATACCTATCTCTTCGGACACACGTCAATTTGACGTATGAAAGAATTGTGATTCTTAATTTAATAAATTCAATTTAGTAGATCCACCACTATTTCTAAATAATTTCTATATAATTCACCACTTCATATTTCAAAATTTACTTTGTTGTCATTTACCATTTTTTTTAATTATTTTCGCGTGTCCGGAGCAGTTGGCATCTCTGCACTTAGAAACCAATGATTATGTATACTATAAGAAAAAAATGAAGATATGAGATATATATTTATGAAATATTCTAGTATTTTATGTTTCAATACTCGAACTAAGCAACTGAAACCTTCAAAATCTGACACTCTGACATCAATTGACATTCTGCGTTTGTTCTTTCTAGTATAGCTTATCGGCAACAGTTGTTTATCGCTTGTTTTATTTGAGATAACGAAACGAAGTATTGTCGGTACATTCCTATTTATTATTGATGTGATAATTGCTTGTTTACTTAAACTTTTGTCTAAATTATGATCGCGTCAAATTGACGTATATCCGTAGAATCAGTATACCACAATTTCAATATTTCAACGCTTTTGAGGTAAATAGCATTTAATATATATTTACTTCGATCAATGGTTAAAAGTCATTACAAGAGATAAAATAAAAATTCAAACGGGTTTTATAATTTTCCTTACAAAAGTCGAAATCCGTCAAAATGACGTGTCCCGTAAACCTAGTGTTAAGGTGTAAATGCAGGAATGCCACGGGTGAATACAAATGTAAGAAGTGGTAGAGATTCAATTCATTTTTTTTAAAATTTAATCCACTTAATTTTTCAATGAATATTACCTCATAACAAAATATTCATATTTAAATCGAAATCAATCTTTGCATTCGTTTCCAATTGTAAACTAAAACAAATACGCTAAAAATAGCAGCTAATTTAACTTTTAATAAAATTAAGAATTTCATTCGTCACTACTTTTTGGATTTTAGTGGCTTGTGGCATTGTGGAAATGAGAC